ACGAAGCTAGGGTAAATAGGAAACACGGACTGTGGACACATCGCGGAGACCTGTGGCTGTTTGAGACGAGGGCGCGGAGTCGTTTGTGACTCACACAACCTGTGCATGAACGGAAACAGACAAACGCAATCAATGGATCAACTTTTCTGGTGCAGCATACGATGGAAGCAGAAAACCGGTAGGACAATTGTAAGATTTCCTAGTACTAGTAATTTTACTGTCGTATTTCGTTTTTTCCTTTATGCTTATTAGGCAAGAAAAGATCTTTGAGTTTAAATTGAGCGGTGAAACAGTGCCCCCAGCTGTCTGTAAGGTATTTGTTGATGTTGTTATGAGGTCTCGGGTCTGTACAGAACTCACTGCTGGTCAACAACGGTTGTTAGGACAGTTGAACTCAACAGCGCGCCCCGCTCAGCGATCGCTACCAGCGATCATTTTCAATTTTGCTTTGCCTCGAGCACTACACCACCGCATCCGCCGACGTCAAGACTACTACTCTTCTCCAGTATGGGACGCATCCAGTTCGCTATAGTCGCTGCGTTGGCCCTCGTCACCAGAAGCGCAAACGGCTTTACCGTTGGTACACCCGAAGGTCTTGCTGCCGGCACCACCGGTGGAGGCAACGGGACTATCGTATACCCTACCACGAACCAAGAGCTGATAGCCTACCTGAACTTCTCGGAGCCGCTGGTGGTTGTACTGAACAAGACCTTCGACTTCCGTGGCACGGAAGGGACGGTCACTGAGACGGGTTGCCGTCCGGATTACACGCGCGAATGCATGGCCAAGAACAACGGCCTCAAAAGCCAGGATGTGATCCTCCAGCCGGGTGGCATGAACAACACTGGCGGTTGTACCGGCGGTACCGAAGTGACGGTGACGTACGACAAGGCTCCTCTTAAGCGCATGAATGTGAAGAGCAACAAGACTATCCGTGGTATCGGCAAGAGTGGTGTCATCGTGGGCAAGGGCTTGACACTTGTTGGTGATAACATCATCGTGCAAAACATCCACATTACCGAGCTCAACCGACACCTTGTGTGGGGTGGCGACGCCATTTATCTTCAGGGTCTGGACCACGG